AAAAAAAAAAAAAAAAAAAAACAAAAACAAGAAGGGAAGCTCCAGCTGTGTCTGTCCCTTTTATCTGGAAGCCATAACAACTTTCCCAGAAGCTCTTAGCACATTTCCTCTTACATCTCACTGACCAGAACCATGTTATAAAGAATGCTGGGTGGGGGGGGGCGTGGTGGCACACGCCTGTAATCCCAGCACTTTGGGAGGGTGAGGCAGGTGGATGACAAGGTCAAGAGATCAAGACCATCCTGGCCAACATGGTGAAACCCTGTCTCTACTAAAAATACAAAAATTACCTAGGTGTGGTGGTGCGCACCTGTAGTCCCAGCTACTTGGGAGGCTAAGACAGGAGAAGCACTTGATCCTGGGAGGCAGAGGTTGCAGTGAGCCAAGATTGTGCCACTGCACTCCAGCCTGGTGACAGAGTGAGACTTCGTCTCAGAAAAAAAAAAAGAATGCTGGGTGGCACATGCTGTCATTCCATCTACTCTGGAGACTGAGGCTCAAGGATTGCTTGAGCCCAGGAATTCAGGGCTGCAGTGAGCCATGATTGTGCCACTGTACTGCAGCCTGGGCGACAGAACAAGTCACCCTTTTTCTTTCTCTCTCTCTCTGTCTCTCACACACACTCACTCTCTCTCTCTCTCTCTCTCGGGAAAGTGAGTGTTTTGTTTTCCCAGCCACTAATAGAAGCTGGGAAGGAAAACGAAGGATGGGAATGAATGTTGGTTTGGACATCCACAGCAGGGTCTGCCTCCCCATGTTAGGTATATACTTCATGGATATTTCTCCTATGCTGGTTTGAGCCCCAGTGCTGCTGTTTCATGGCACTGGGCTTTCCAGTAGGCCTGTTTATTTACTTCTTACCTCGGCATGCCCCACACAGCCATATAAAGGATTTTCCAGGTCATTGGTGTTTGGTTTAATTTTCCAATTTGTTTCTTTCTCTACTTTGAATCACAAAGCCCTGTCCTCCTACATCCGTCCTACATACACACACACACACACACACACACACACACACACACTACTTTGAATCACAAAGCCCTGTCCTCCTACATCCGTCCTACATACACACACACACACACACGTTTATATATATATAAAACATATATATAATATATATATGTTATACATATATACATATATATGTTGTATACATTTATATATATATTAAAAAACATATGTATATATGTTTTTTGTTTTTGTTTTTAAAGACAAAGTCTCACTCTGTCACCCAGGCTGGAAGGCAATGGCATGATCTTGGCTCACTGCAACCTCTACCTCCTGGGTTCAAGCAGTTCTCCTGTTTCACCCTCCCAAGTAGCTGGGATTACAGGTGCACGCCACTATGCCTGGCTAATTTTACATTTTTTAGTAGAGATGGTTTGACCATGTTGGCCAGGCTGGTCTCGAACTCCTGACCTCAGGTGATCCACCTGCCTTGGCCTCCCAAAGTACTGAGATTACAGACGTGAGCCACCATGCCCAGCCTCTACATCCATATTTTTATATTGCTGTTTCCTCTTTCTGGAATGCCATTCTTCCAGCTCTGGATCATTCTTATTTAGAGCGCAAATACCATTTCTTTAGAGAGAGATTTCCTAAACTCTAATCTAAAATGAGGCTGGGTGCAGTAGCTTATGCCTGTAATCCTAGCACTGTGGGAGGCCGAGGCCAGTGGATCACTTGAGGACAGGAGTTCGAGACAAGCCTGGCCAACATAGTGAAGCCCCATCTCTACTAAAAATACAAAAGTTAGCTGGTCATGGTGGTGCACACCTGTAGTCCCAGCTACTTGGGAGGCTGAGACATGAGAATTGCCTGAACTCGGGAGGCAGAGGTTGCAGGGAGCAGAGATAGTACCACTGCACTCCAGCCTGGGTGATAGAGTGAGACTCTGTCTCAATAAATAAATAAATAAATAAATAACAAAATGACCTCCTCCAGTTATTGTCTATCTTATTGCCCCATTTATTTAATTGATAGCATTTATCACAGTCTATTAATTCTTTCAATTTAAAAAAATTTTTTTAGAGACAGGTTTTACCATGTTGGCCAGGCTGGTCTCGAACTCCTGACCTCGGGTGATCCACCCACCTCGGCCTCCCAGAGTGCTGGGATTACAGGCGTGAGCCACTGTGCCTGGCCTTATTAATTCTTTTTGTTTGTTTACTTGTTAGGGCACTGTATAGCCTCAGATGGCCTGTGTGTAAATCCCTGCTCTGCCACTCTGCCATTTACTAGCTTTGTGACTTTGGGCAAGTCAATAACCTCTTCTCTCCCTTTTTTTTTTTTTTTTTT